TCCCTCTATCTCTCTCTCTCTCTCTCTCTCTCTCTCTCTCTCTCTCGCTTGACTCCTTTAAATCAGCACTCTAATAGCTTTTCAACTTTTATTTTGTGTCGGATTGCATTTTATTCGCAACTGTGTGTGTGTGTGTTTTTTGTCGCTTCGCATTTGTTCGTTTGCGAGTTCAGATCATTGCATTCCTTTAAAATGAAATTAGGAAGTGGGTTTGGTTTTATGCGGCGGTTCGAAAATGTGGTTTATTAGTTATGCCCGTGCCTGGCTTGATTGCATTTCCAGATTTTACCGTAATGAAATCAACCTCAAAAATGGATATTTATGTGCATGTACCAACAATAAAATGTTTTGAATGAGTTCAGAAGAAAAAAAAGAGAGAAGAGAACGGAAGAGAAAGCCTATTAGCGCGTGTGCTTAACCAATATATTTAAAACAAAAAACGGACCAGCAACGCGCGACACATCACTAATTTACGAAAAATGGTTTAGAAAATGGCAGTTCACAATAAATTTGTCCATCGGAAAATGGTGACGCAAATAAAATTATTGGCTCTGACCAAACAAAATTCGATCTCTAATTGATTTTCTCGCTTTGAATTCGAATTTCGAAAATAGTGTTATTTCATCAACGATGCAACGGATTGAAATTCAAATTGAAATTTGCATCGAAAATTCATTAGGTTGAAATAACAGAGAGAAATTTCGTAATCGGGAAATGCAAATGATGATTGTTAATTTTGAAACAAGGCAAACGTTTTAAGTTCATTTCGTTTTTTTCACAATTCATGTTGTTTCAATTTAGTGGAATCCAAATTATACAGACAAGTTCGATGCCTTAAACGAAAATGCTCTTTTTTCTTCTTTTTAAATCGCTCTTTTTGCTTAATAATTCAATCGGTCAATAAAAACCGATATAAATTGTAATTTCATTCTCAATGAATCAATGTCATGTTTTGGAAAGGGAAGTCAAAAAATGAATCGCAATTTACAGAAAATGCATAGACACCACACTGTTTCGGATTTTTTACTCCGATGTTTTTTGAATCCATTTCGGAAAAGTGCATGAAATCGAAATACAACAAGTGATGGCTGTAAATGTAAATTGACTTTTCGGTTTTAAAAAAAAATCCCTTCGAGGTTGATGTCCCACTAAATATCAATTCTTTCATTTACTGGCGATAAATATGCGCGCGTTGGGAAAAGAGCAAACTCATCTGTGATAATGACGTTTTGATTGCAAATGAAAACGAATGGAAGACAGAAAAAAAAAATCGAGCTTGTGAATCGAAAATGAATGAAAGACGAAGAATCATTCTATCCGCGTGCCCATACCAATGTTCAAGTTTCAGTAGAAAGAACAACAATTGTTTGTGCATTAATCATATAATTCCGAAAGAATGACTAATTTTCCGCTCGTTACCATTTGATTCGAGAATTATACTGTGCGAAGATGGAGTGTGAGAGAAAGCGAACAGAACGGAATATCGTTTTCAAATAAACACTTCTTTTTCCCATCATTTCTACAGTGTATAAATACTGTGAGCCCCTCCACGAAAAGGATGAATAAATAAATTGAGGATGGAATCGAATAAGTCGATAAATGTTTGGTTTAAAGTTGAAAATGCTGCTGCTGCTGTTGTTGTTGCCGTTCGGCAAACAAATGGACTGTGAACAACTACAATCAAGTGCTTAATTTTTTTTGTTCTCTCTTTTTCTTCCAATTCTTTTCCATCGTTCCATGCCATGTATACGTACAATATGTGTTTGCCAGCAAAAATGCGGAAATTCTCTTTGGCAATGTTCACATGGTCGATTGTGCTGATTCAATTGCTCTTTTGTTGCTCTCCTTTACTTGGCAGCCTGGTTGAAGTGAATGTCGGATTTGTAACTTGTCTTTTCTCACATATGAAATGTGCCGCAGACGATAAAGAGTGAAATGCAATACGAATCATATATAGAAAAGTTCCCAATGGGGAAAAAAAGTTTCTCCCAATGACGCGCGCGAAACGAACAACAAAATAAAATACGGCAGAAAAGAAGCTTTCCGTAAAAACAATGCATGCTCAGAAATGAAAGTAGTAGTAGCAGTAAAAAAACGGATTAGAAAATACAGAAAAAAAAACCAGTGAACGAAATGAGAGAAAACATTTGAAACATGAAGAATCAAAACGATATCACCATACATAAATAGAGACCCAAAAAAATCGGAGCGAAAAATAGAAGAAAATATTGCACACGGCAAACACTCACGTCGCAAACACCTGCCAAACTTTCACTTTACGCGTGAGTTGTACAAGCTTTGTCTGCGACGTACGGCTTTGTATAAAATATATTCCGTTAATGCCACAGCATATCATCAACATCAGTCCCGCCGATTTATTTGCCAGCTTCTGGTGTGTGAACGAGAATGCGTCGTCTGGTACGAATTCGATCAGCAAAATAAAAGACGAAAGACTCAACACCAACAATCCGCCGAAAAATATTCGAAACTAGTGCACGGAATTTCGGCATTGTAAATGAAGAGAAAAATTAATCTGAATGTGCAAAGGATGAGAGTTACAGCTTGTAAGTTTTGCATGGTAGAAAAGAACAAATATTCAACGAGTAGTTATAAACGATGAATGCAATGGTGAACATCCGTTGACACATAGAATGAAACGAAGAAGAAAAAAAAATCCACAACAAAACGGACGAGCGAATTCAAAAGACACGAATGAAAGCAAGGAAAAAAAGCGAACGCGATGAATAGAATTTTCGGAATCTGATTCATTAGCATTTCGGACGTAAACAGAGACGATGAACGGTAGTGCCGTCGGTAAAAGTCGATGAAGAACTTATGTTCGTGTCTCTGTGCTTCTTTTTTGTGTATTTCAATATTGTGCGCTTCATTTGCCGTCGCTGTACCGTGTGAATATTTGTCTATTACATCAGATCGATGCAATACACCAAAACCTATTGCTAAACAATTATGCTTTCCGCTAGCAGAGTTTTGTTATCTCTCGCGTCCAAAAACACAGCGACTGGGTTGCTCCCGTAGAAATATATGTTGTGTGTGCGCGATTTTTTTCTATCAATTTTTCTCTTTTCTCTTGTGCTCTCTCGCCATCTTCAGTTGTAATGCACACATTTACGCTTTGCGAGAGTTAAACTGTGCCAAAAACACAGAACCAGAGCAACATCGAGAGAAATGTCAGCAACAGCAGCACCAACAGCACCAGCCAAAACACTTTCAGCACACAAATTACCAACAATAGTGTTCGAAATAGCACACAAACTTTTCAACACATTATTTTCTCCTTTACATGCGATTCCCGTACCGGTTGACATGAAATAAGAGACACCAGGTGCAAGTAATAAATTTAAAAATTTACACGTTTTGGGCGGACAAATTATGGAATTTAAATGCTTTTCAACAATACATATTATATATATTTATACAAAAAAAGCGCACACACACACATCCATCGCTCTCTTGATTATTATATGGATGAAGAATGTTCAATGTTCTTACAGTAAATCAGTGCCGCTTCTTAAATCACGGTCGTTTATTCGTCATTTGCTTTAAATTCATTGCGGGAATTTTTCGTGCATTGACTTTTCTTCGGCTAATGAATTATTTTGACTAAATTTTGACGGAGACGGCACACTTCGCACCGAATATAAAAGAAACGATGAATCCGAACACTGGAACTCATTAAAAGACGCAAAGCAAAAAAAAAAGAACCAAAATCAATACCAAATTTTTTCTGGTCGATTTTTTTTATTGGTTCAGACCATATTTTATTCATAATCGCTTTATGGTTGGTTTTTTCCGCTCTTTTCACGATATTATGGACCTTGCACTCAAGCATCCAGTGCAGAACCGATCAATTTTCAATAATTACATATTTACTTGAAATTCAATCTGAAGATGATACGGTTTGTCTCCGTTTAGATTTTTCCACTCTGACACCGCTTCATCATTATGTCAATTTTTGAGCTTTTGTTAAGGATGTCATCAATTCCAGTCAAATACTCGTAAAACTTCTAGCATCAATGTTTTTGCTCCGCCATCATTTATTATTTAACATTTTACAATGTTCGTTTTTTTTTGTTCTTTATTTATTTACATGTTATTTATATTTATAACAACTCTAATTCAATATTGAATGAAATTGAGTGGAACGTCAATTGAAAGTTTTTTTTAACAGGTATTATTTGGGAAAATGCAATGTTCAAAAGTGAAATAGGACACCAAAAATAGAACGCAATTGTAACGAATTGATAAGCTATTGTAACAAAAAGAATGTGACCCGATAAAATGTTGAATGGTTTCGATCATAAGCTAATTTTAGATTAAACTTGGCACACAAATTGTTATAGCTCTTGACAAAACCGCGGTTGATTTGCTCTAATTTCATTAACAGAAATTAATCTCCATAAATTGGGCGTCATGTGATCACACTCGCCGAAAATGATGCAATGTATAGGATTGCAATGTGGAATCCAATTTCGTGTTGAACCACGTTTTTTTTGATAAACAAATTGCAATTTTCATTTTATACGCTTCATACGAACGAACACATGAGAATTTAATTAAAAATGCTGAACACTGGAAAAAATGATTGAATTGCATTGGTTCGAAAAATCAAAATGAACCACAAAATTGTTCATTGGAATTTACGCACTTTTGACTGTTGAACTCTCAGCAGTTAATGAATTTTATACTATATGCATGTTTTTTGTCGACATCCGTGCAATGGAAGGCAATGTAAAAATGTAATATAAAATCCCCCGCGTAAAGTGTGCGAAATAGAGAAAAAACGAGCTTTAATTGAATTCACACTCGTGCGGATTTCGAAGAACGAAACGAAAAAAAAAAACGTTTGATGAAAAATCTCAATAAAAAAAATAGTTTTTTGAACTTAAAAGCTTAGAAAAATTTACTGACTTTTTTCGTCTGATGAAAATAAAATTCGTTTGCAACAATCACACTCAATTAGATCATAAAATCAAACTTACATTTCACTAATGTTAAGCCAACAAAAACTTGCACCAACATAAACTGGCTAAAACTTTGCAAATACTTCATTATTTTCAATTCCCTTCTTTTTATCTCACAAATGAACACGAAAATCACTCAAAACTATTCAATCACATAATTTTGATTTTCTTTATTGAAAAAAAATGGCAACGCGAAAAGAGCCGTTATATATCAGCACAAAGAGAAACGTTTAAAATTTCACATAAAATATATTTGCCTTAAACACGCGCGACGCACAAAAAAAATCTCACAAATAACTTTCGTGTTGTTTCGTTCGATGCTTTGATCACTCGCAAAAATCACTTAACTGCAAAACCGACAGTAAAACATTCAGAGTAATTGAAAAGAAAATTCTGTAGCGGTTGGTAAATTTCAGGGAAAAATATCCATCCAAATATCAGCACGATCCGTGATAAACTGATGAAAACTTAAAACTGCAACGGAATATTTGTGAATCAGTTCTCGTTCGTTTCGGGAGGGTTTGTATTGTTGTTGCTGCTGCTGCTGCTGCTGTTTTTTTTTTGTTTTCTGGCTTGTGAGCGGGCGCACGTTTGCTATGTGCATGAGCTTGTGCGGTTTGGTTTTCATGTGAGAATCCAGAGATTCAACATACAAACGGACTAGTGTGTTTTAGATACGATACGCTAGACAATGAACAACAACAACAACCACCGAACATAGTACATTACACAGTAGCTAGAGCCACCGCATCGAAGTGGTGAATGCACATATTTCTCCTTCGCATCTTTGTAGCGAATGCGGGGAGAGGGGGAGAAAAGTGCGAGAGCGTTTGAGTTGTTGTTTTTTCTACTGTTCGTAGTGTCGTCGTTGTTATTGTTGGTGCTGCTGTGGCGCGCTTCAAAATAAACAGCAAAATTTTCATTTGATTCGCATTACAGACAGTGAGAGCCGTACGATTGGTTGAAATGCTCGCATTATATTATTGAGCCACTGCAAATAAACCATCCATCGAATGGATAGCATGGATAGCATGGCAGCAGTGTATGAATGGAACATCCAACAGAAAATCAAATAAGAGAACAAGTCGAGCACACTGATGCACACACTGTTCAGCATGTGCTTTTGTACTGTACATTAGGGTGTTTCCCATATCTGTAAATAGAAAAATGGTATTTATTAATTCAAAGTAGGCAAAATTTTATGGTAGTTAATGGCATTTATACAACGAAGCGATTGATGGTAGCACTTCCCGAAGCGAAAAACAATTGTCACGTCTGAATATATAAATGCAATCGAATAATGAAAAATACTCACAGAAAAACAGAGCCTTGGTAGTACTTCCTCGAAATGCTGAGACACAACAGTCAGTCTCAGTTAGTGTAACAAAATTACAATATTAATTTTTAATTAATTTTCGAGTTAAAATAGTGATTGGTTATGCTTAAGGCTGTTGATTATTTTGAACTGCTTGTTGTCGACGTGGTCTCTGCAATGTTAGCGGGATATCCACTCCAAACAGGTTACAATGTCCTATAAAAAAATACAAATGTCATTTAACACAGACATAACACATCTATAATATGCAAATGTCCATTTCTTATATACATACCTTTGATGAGAATGCATTTGGCGGCCACGATATCACGATCCCAAGTTGTCTGATGCACAATCATTGGTTGTTGCTTGTCATCGATTTCCGTCACACATTCATCATCGACTGCACACGGTTGTTGAGCGACATCTCCATCGATTTCCGCTGCATTTTCATCATCAACTGCATGTGGTTGTTGATCGACTTTGACGTCAGCATATTCCAATACACCACTCACTGCGTTTACTTGCCATTTTTTTGGATACACGGCCACCTTAGACAGTAAACGATCAGCTATAATGTCGAAATCATGCTCAGTCATTTCACCTCGAGCCAGAAATACCGCCAAACTCTCTTCAATATAAACTTTGTTATACTTTAAACGCCGTTTGCTGAGCTGTGCCACGATTTTCGATGGTAAAAAGTTAGCCATGATTGAATTTGGCACCGGTGCACAATTTTCACAAACTTTGAAACGGTTGCTTTTGGTGTTTGGATCGAATCGTCCGCCATATTTTGCGCATGTCTGTGATGTAAAATACTCATCGACTTTGCGCACGACACAATTGCCACGTTTTCGAAAACCTTTCAAAAGTTTGCGTGTACCGGGACAGCGCACATGCTTCTTAATGCGTATTGGCGAATTTGGTGACATGTCGGCGTTGCCCAAATGAATCAAAGCTGCTTGATGATTAACCAAAGTGCCGCAAAGTTTATCTATAGTACTATTGGACTCAACATACTTGTCAAACTTCAAGCGCGCATATTTTGGTGTAGTGTACACGTCCATTCCTTTCTTGAGCATTTTTATCCGATGGCAAATGTAATCAGTCCAAAGTGTACCAAGCGGTGATGGCATTCGCTGGTACAGCTGTCGATTGTTTCGATCATTTTGCTCATCCAAAGTGAACTGCTTCGTCCAGCGCTTGGCCTTTTTGTCGCGCATTTTATATTTCGTGAGCCAATGGTACTTTTTACTAGATGTTTTCAAGTTGACCTGAAATTAAAATTAAAAAAAAAATCAATTGAAAATTTTGTTTGTTCGCTTCGTTCACGTAACATATAACTCTCGATTTTTTAACAATGCTAAAGAAAAAATAAATACTTACTTCTTTGCGAGTACTGATGGTTCTTCGGACAGTCGCATTCCATGTCTTCATACCCGGATCGATTCCCAGTTCATAAACAAACGTTCCATCCAAGTATCGCTTTCTCACAATGTCATCATCCAGCAACCGTTGAAGATGTTGTTTTGACAATTTATACAATACCGATACTGATTCACCGTTGCTAACAATAGTATAATGAAACTCTTTGTTTTTCTTCAATATTCGATTGATTTTGTCAAAATCGAATATTTGGTTCCAGAAGTGTTCTTTGTTTTCGCGAATGAATGTTTCGGTAACTTGTTTACCTTCGACTTTTGGAAGGAGTTTCTCTTCTGCCAACATTCTGTAGAAAACATCATTGCACATGAACACTGCCTTTCGCTGATAATCTGGCAATGGAACAACAGACAGATTTTTGATCTTCGGTATTGTGACGTTGTTGTCTTGCGCCCAATTGTGAAACTCATCGATTTCGCTTTGCATGACAAGCCACATTGCAGTTGCTTTGAACCAGTATTTGCCTTTTGAGAACTGCTTGATGTTGTCATAATTCGCTAGTCCACCAACCTCTTCCACAATTGCACGAACCATGTCAAGCAGCAACTTTCTTTTGTATCGTTTAAGAGGTGCATTCTGATGTGTGTCTCGAATGGCATCATAGCGTCGAATCGCCCAATCAATTGCATTGTCAACATCCTTTTTATCGAACCTCAAACCGGTTGACACTGCATTAAACTGCCAAGCTCTCATTTGCAAATAATTTCGCAGCCGCTTCTTTGCATGTGTCGTTTGATTCGTTTTCAATTGGCGCGTATAACTTTGGCATAACGATTTCATGATGTTGCCGAAATAATTGTTGTTTGGCCAGGCAAATTGATTGTCTCGGCTCAGTCCTTGCTCAACAAAATGACGAATGTGTGGTTCCATGTCCTCGTTTTCTTTGTTCTTTTGCAAAACTGCATAAAAGCAGCGCTCAATCACATCTTCGGCACGATTTTTTTCAACCAATTTTCCTTTTTGGTTAACATACATTCTATTCGTGAAAAAGTCCCATTGGCGATTGTTTTGCACGGACTTCACTTTGTCAAGGAACAGCAATGAGGCCAAAACGCTGATCTTTGTTGACATGACACTTTTCTTTTCGATCCAATGTATGACAACATCATGGTACTCCGGCCGAACAATTGTTGTGAGGCGCATTTTTATCGCTAATAAGCCATTGTCATTGAAGTTTTCGTCCTCGGCCTCCTCCTCTTGTTGCTTTTTTGTTTGATATTTATATCGTTTCTTTTTCGCCTGTGCAGCCGATGTTTCACCAGTTGTCGACATGTTGAACTGCAACGAAATAGAAAAAAAACACGCACAATTTACTATAAAAACACTGATAAAATCACACATATGTATTTTGCACTGTGCAATTTGTAAATGAATCAATAGAAAGCACATAAAACGGAGATAGAATTAACACTTGATCTTACCTGATTGATGGACACGACTGAAGTGATATTCAAAATCGAAAAAGAACTCTCTCGAATGCACATCACACTAACACAGTCCAAAGTTGTATCGAAATATTTGCAGTTTCAGCTTGAGAACGTTTTGTTGATATCAAAACAAAACAAAATCGAACACAAGTTTCACTGAAAATATCTCTCTTGCAAGTTATCGATTGACAATGATCCGAATGTTGAATCTGTTGTATTCATAAAAAAAACCATCAACAGAGTGAAATTAACTCCTTCGAAAGCATAAAACAAATACAAAATACGCCGACACATTCAAATTATATGTTTTAGCACTTTAACAATCGAATGCATAGAAATTATGCAAGGAATGCAAATTCAAATAAAAAAAAAACAATGATTCTTACAAGTTTCACCACGTTTAAAATGTGACAGATCATTCGACTAACACACAACTCACACTGCATTCCGATGTAAAAAATATTCCTATACTGTAAACACACACATTTTTTGTTTATAAACCGTTTGAATAAGGAAATTATGTGTGCTGAACTAATGAACGGACTCACAGTTTGTGTATGTGTAAACACTAACGAGCAAACGAAACGGCATGATTATTAGCCTGTCGCGATGGATATACTCAAATCTGTATGAACTGATGTGTGTTAATGTTGATTCAAATCATATACCGACTTCACTGGCCAAAAATTGCTTACACAGAGTTTTGTTGTACGATTGTGAAAATGCGTTTAACA